AATTGTTGTCAAGTGACTTTTCACACCAGTGTGACATAAAACACCGATGGCGCAGTTTCAAATAGGAAAATATATAATAACGGGGGGTCTGGTATAGTTTTTTACCAAATGCACTTCTAGTTGGCCTTGCTCAACAATTTTTACATATGTCAATCCTAACCCCCGCCTGACTATGTCACCGGGCCATTTGTGAGGCTGTTGAATTAAGTTGAACTTTGGCTACGGGAGTTTTTTAATAAGGTAGACCAGGATGGCCCAAACCCTGTCGTGCTGATACATTCCGTGCGGCCCACAGAACAATTTCAGCGTATATTTGTATCTAATGGAGGAACTTTTTTGAGTTTTTTTTTTTAGTTCTTCCAACAGGTGTTCCAACCCGAGATTCAAACTCTTTTTTTAACGCTTTGGGCCTTTATTTTAGTAAAAATACTCCTCTGTTTTCAAGCGTCGGCCATGTGACAGTAGTGACGAAACACAGAGCCGACTTAACGCCGCGCAATCCAGTTTTTCAGCTAGGTCACGGAATACCAACTTAGACAGACTTGGCATGAGGAAACGCGGCGGAAACGTATTTCCTTGCCCATCACACAGTGTCTGGTTTGATTTCAAGTAATATCTGTCACGAAAGAATATAATTTGGAGCGACATTAAACGCGAGATGCGCAAAATACAACGGTAATTTTCGGGAATTAACTTCAAAATAACTGAATGCCTCATATATCTTCCTTAAAAGAACGCCACCCATGCAACATAAAAATAGTCTGATTAGAACGGTAAACTCTCGTTGTTGTTTTTAAATTTAAAGTAAGTAAACTCGCGATATTTCGATCACTTTTGGGTTTTCTTCGACTTGCGGCCCGCGAGACCTTCTCAAAAGTTTTTGCGGTCCTTCAACCTAGTGTAGCGTACCGGCAATAGATGAAATAATTATCCAGGTTCAGAATATCTTCTAATATGATCTGTCCTCTAGTTTTCCTCTCAATAGTCCTAGTCTTTACGCTGTTTTATGTCATTTATTTAACAACTCGAACAGTGAACGATCCAAAACAACCAAACACTCCAAAGGAACGAAAAGCATAAAATAAAAATAACAGATACCAGGCAGTAAAAAGGCAAGAAAGACCATATACACCATAAAAAACACTGACGAACCCTGAAATCGAAGAGACTTTCAATAGAAACTAAATGACCCCTAGAATCCAGTACAATAAACTAGCTACTACCATTTGCAGAACAGGCCGAAAATAACTTATGACAGGCATTTTTAAAAGACGACCAACAATTCTATTGGTGCACAACATTTGAACAATACTGATGAAAGGTAATTTCATAATAAAACTGAAAATACTACACTACGGTAAATGAACTGTAATGGCACTGTACTCAAACAATAACATGGTCCCTACGTCAGCCCACTGTCCAGCACAAAACATCCAACAGTCACACAACCACAGACAAACATCCCCGAAGACCAGAGGCACCCACACAGACACAAAACAACCACCAATCCAACCGAAACACTCAGACGACTGCCTCTCGTCAACCCACGGTGAAGACCATGCCGCAAAACAAAGGAAGGCCGACAGTGTCACAGCGCCCACAGTGTCCTCACTGATAGAATACGAAATATTGAAACGATATCACATGACGTCATTTAACAGGCAAAACAAGGGTCGTCACACTAGCAACCTTGAACCACCCTGAGGTAGACTACTAGGTACCGGTAAAATTTCAAACTACAGTTGTGACTTGTTTCCTTTGGTATTTCAATTCACGTTGAGACTGGAGGCGTGGATCTTTATTGTCACACTCCCTCAGGATTAGAGCCCAACCGCTATATCGGCCCGATACTGCGTGTAAACCAGTGATTCCCAAAGTGGGTGATATCGCCCCCGGTGGGCGAAAACGATATAGAAGGGGGCGAAAAATTCGAAGGAGGCGATAGGGGGGCGATTTCGCAAAACCTGTTTTTGTTCGGCGCATCGTGCACTCATTCTGTACTCTATGTGAATTCGCAGGCTTGAATCACGTGGGCGATTATCACACGCAAAAGGATTGCTTGACTCGTCTTCGCAGTAAGGTACATTAGTTTGCGTATCCCGGTGGTCGGCAAAATACGGCTGGAGTAAAATAATCTGGCCCGCAACGATTCACTGAATGGACCATTCCCCGACCTTTGACTGCGAAAAATTCTTTCTATACTTTAAAATTTCAAAATTTTTGGTGCTCATTTTAAGAGTGGTTTTGCGACTTGCTGCCTGTAAAATGGGATATTTGTTTCAAACTATCATTCTAATTCATACCATACAACAATCTGTTTTTAAAAAATACTTATGAAGTATTTTAGCCTAGTCTATCACAGCTATTTCTACACTAAATTTTGATTACTGTATTTAAACTGAGTCCCATAGGAAGACAAAGTAATCATTGACTTATTTGATTTATATATAAATTTCCGAAAAACAACTGAAAACTAACGAATATAATTCAAAAACGCGAAAATGGGGTAATGTTCACGACCACGCCTGAAAATCTGTCTGAGAGAGTGTCTGAGCGGATGCGAAAGAGGGCATTGTTACGTTTATTTTTGCATCTTGCTGATTGGCCAATGTCACGAAGTAAACAAGGAAGTCTATGCCCGGAGAAACATCCAAATGGCGGTTTTGACGATGCATTAATATTACCCATAATCTACGCTCGATGAGTAAATTGCATTTTTTTACGTAACAGAATTTATCGTGAGACACGTTTAGACTAAATTTTATTATATCCTGAAAATTCTATCGAACAGCTAGCTACTTGCGTAACGAGCCTACAATTTAAATAATTATAATCAGACAAACGGAATCACGGAAAAAAGTTGATGCTGAGGGCAGGGGTTCTATAGCGCAGTAAATATTCGAATATAATGCAATGCAATAAGGAATAAAATTTATATTCTGTTCGAAAGATTCACGATAGTCGGTCACGGCTTCTTCCACATCCGAGTCTATGAATTCAAAAACAAAAGACTGATTAATTTCATGGACTGGAAGCCGTGGTTGGATAAGGAATCGGGGATGATATTTACCGAAGTATTTTGGTGCAGGTCATCAGGCTGTAGGAATGAATGAGATGTACGAAAATAATTATTATAAGTTTGGGAAAATTACCTTTTCTTTCATTATTTTAATGTGAAGTGGGGTGAATTTAGGGAGTGAAATGCTATAAGGCAAGAGTACACGGCGGTTTTTGAGGCGGTAGAACCCTGGATTCTTTCATTTCCTACCTATTATATAGTGAAAAAGGGGTTTTCAGCCATGTTACTATTGCTATCAAAACAACGAAATCGCCTTTCCATCTGTAAACGGGGTAATTTTAGATATAATAAAAAAAACTCGCTGAAGGACATTAAGCTCATCCATCTCATTAAAAAAACAATATAAACTATGATTTGTCTTCTTATTTGGTCTGTAATATATTCTTTTCTGACTTTACATTTTTTTGTAGTGCCGGGGGGCGATGAAGTTGTATAAGCTTCTGTAGGGGGGCGATGGTCAAAAAAGTTTGGGAACCACTGGTGTAAACGACCGATATATATATGCTATATATAACAGTTAAAAAAAACTAAAAATGTTCGTGAAAGTTGTTTTATTTACTGTTGGTTGTGTTTTTATTTAATGGATAATACACTTAGGCGGTTTATTGTTTTTATAATTAAATTACACCATAAGGGGGCACTAAAGTCTTCAGAGCTTACGGAACCAAAGAGGCTTAATCCGCCCCTGGGTAAACCGTTCGCTGTCACTGATATAACATTGTCGTTTGATATGAATAGCAATACTTGAGCATCTGTCACCTTCAGCCGGGCCGTAGAAAGTCGTGTGCTACATACAGCAACCTTCTTTGCTGCCCAGTGCAAATTTCTGGTAATGATGCCCCTAAATTCAAGATAATTTGTAAGATGAACAAATTATAGATGTTGTTATACAAGGAGTCCTCGACTTACGACGTTGTTCCGTTCTCGAGACGCGATGTAACCCGAATTTCAGTGTAAGTCGGAACATTATACTGTACAGTACATAAATTACTCTATACATATCGTACTGTATTGTAAAGTATGGTACAGTAATAAAATGTACAAATAATGCAAAAAAGTACTTTATTAAAAAAAAATAAAACAATTCCATATCACATGAATAAAAGCAAATACTGTACAGTACAGTATTAGCATTTATATTCTTTATGGAGTGCGTTCGTAACGTCGAAACAGCGTATGGAGTGCGCTTTCGTAACCTCGAAACAGCGTAAGTCGCGACCGTCGTAACCCGAGGACTCCCTGTACATGAGAATGAATTAAAGGTCAAGTAAGAATGAAATATCTGTATTGTTAATATTTAAATCATCAAACTAAGCAACAAACTCTACAACGCGCTGCTCTTATGACCCTCACTTAAAAATTCTCCTTGATTAAATACCGTGAAAGAAATCACATGGAATGAGACAGCTATGAATTCTATTTTCAGAGCAAAAGATTTCAATAGACAAGCCTTCATATTCAATGTATGAAATATATAGTAGAAACGGAACAATATAAGTAATAATAAGTAGTTTTACTTATCATGACAACATACTTGTGGCGCCTTTCATTTTGTCTAATTCTAATCACAGGCCACCATCGGTAATGAATAAAAAATCAGTAATTTAACTTCCATAAGCACATAATTCAGTCACCTCTCATAAATAAAATAATCAGGTTTTAATGGGAGACAGACATTGCAATAAAGAGTAATTTAAGTTTGAATCACCTGTGGGGTGCTTCTAATTTATGCATAGTCAGACACGGGCCATAAATAACTCAGTTAGAATCGATAGAATCAACGGCCATAGAAAAAGCAAACAAAAATTTTGATAAAACTGAAAACGTTCATCCACGCACGTTACAGTAAAGTCATTAAAGTGTTTTGTCTTTTTATATCAATCAATCCGTCAACTACTTTAACTCAGGTTCTGAGCTGATTTTATATTTCACAGATGACACCGTGGATTGAATATAATGGTAGATAATTGAACATTCCCTGATATTCAACCTCTGGATTATCGACATAAAAAACAATATTTGTGTACGATGCATCGGGATATGGATAATAATAAGGATACCACACTTCTGTTGCTAGTTTGATATTTCGTCCACTTGACAGCAAAAGCTGATTGTTCTGTAACAATTAAATAAACAGTTATGAATCTATTAGACTACCGCACACAGCGATGATATTTTTATTGCGACGCAAAATATTTCTAAGAACTTGTATTGTTTATTGAAAACCCGCACATACGTGAGACTTTATTTTTTCGTGAATTTGGGAAATATATTGAGTGAATTTATTGCTACTCGATCAATAGGGAATGCTTTATTTTTTTTTTGTTAGCGCGCTGTGGTTGCGTTGCAGGACTCCCTGCTGCGTTGTTCACCTGTTTGCGTGATTTTTTTGTGGAGAGTTAGTTAAGAATTAACAGTTTACTCAGTTTTTTGGCATCGCTAGGACGGTAACGTCTATGGCGACAAGTAAAAGAGTGAAATTTGAAATTTTCAGTGAGTAAAGAATATATTTTTCGCAAGAAGGCCATTACTTTTATTTATTACAAATATTCCGGGGATCTTTATGGGATTCGTTTACTGTGTGTTATGTAGTCATCAAAATTTGCCACTATTCAGCGCTACGTATCCATATATTTGAGCATAGCTCTCTTGTTAAATAAGTAGTCGCTTGTCAATTCTTTCTAAAATAAAGACCAGGATTTTGACTAATGTAACAAAATGGCCTGCGAAAAAATATTGAACAAATGAGCACACTCAGTGTCAGTTGCTATCGAAGCAATAGTTTATGTTTATATTGCGCCAAGTAATATTTTCATGAGAAATATTGCGTAAAAAATATTTTTTGCATAAAAATATTGATGCTTTGTGCATATTTGGAAATCTTCGACTTGGTGATGTTTACCGGTAAAACGCCTCTGAGATTTCAGTTAGTGACTTATTAAACTGACCATATACTCCATTCCAGTCCAGATGTGAATCCAAATCCTAGTTGCAGGGATCAGTGGACGTAGATAAGTGAGCAACATCTGGTAATGAGCGAGGTCATAAATATTCGCGGGTTTTCCGATGTTCATTGATTTGCAAATTGATTCAGCATCGTTGAAGGTGACGTTCCCTGCATCATACACAACTGCTTGGAAGCATTTCGAATCGTATTTGAAGTCACATTTACCTGTAAACATTAAATTGGTCATTAAATATTTATGTTATCTAAGAAAAACGTAAACTCATGTAGAAATGAACTAGGATAAATAGGAAAATATAGGATAAATATTATGATTTCGACAATTTGTTAGTTCAATGAGAATTCCGAAATACGAAATACTGCATTAAATTAATTCAAAGTCGATGAGACGAAAAAGAGGACATTGTTGGTGAACGGCGTCGTAACAGACTAGTGATTCTATAGTCAGAATATAAAATCCCGAATGTAAAAATCACCTTCAGCTTTTCTCTTTCCATCAAGACTTTTCTGGATCAGTCTGGCAATTTCTGTAACAAAATTGATATATTTTAGTTGTGGGTAGGGTAAATCGTTTCAAATTAGTTCCCGTCATATTTTAACGTATCGTATTTTACGGACTTTACGGATCATAAGACGCACAGCCAATTGCTTAGATTGGGTTTATATTCAATATTTCAAGTGCGCATTATGGTCCGTAAAATACGGTGCTTAGTTCATTTTTTTATAACTTCATTAACTTTGCCCTTCCTGATACAGAAGCGTCGTCGAAAAATATCTTACATTGAAAAAATAAAGCGGTTAGGGCGTTGAATCCAGCACGTTGAACATTAAAGCCCTGTGCCCAATAAATAAGTTAGGTTTTAATAAATTGATTTAGCAATGACTGTAAAGCCAATATCTTGTAGTACAGTTAGTTTCTTCCGCTAGATAGCGATGTAAAACAGTAAATCGAATGTCTTGTTTCGTACTATTTCCAATACATCACAATAAAACATCTCGTGCTGATAGTGGGTGTTTTCATGGAAGTGGAGTATTTTGTATTGATCTATTCGTACACCCTATGTGGGCAGAGTCCGAGCTCCACAAGTCAATGATAATCAAAGCTATGAAGGCTAGAAATATTGATGATTTTGAGAATGCTAGTTTCTACTAGTGAAAGCCAATAGCCTTTGACCCTCGAATACGTTGATTAACTGCACGACAGAGAAAATTCAAAAGTCATTTGTTTACTCACTCGACAAAATATTTTTAAATCTAAAATATATCATGCAATAGGAAGAACTCACCGGATCCATCGTTTTTCTGTGGAATAAATATAAAATAATTAGTAAAGTCACGAAAGTTGTTGATATTAGTTGCGTGTCATGCAGAAGTCGGATCACTCAATTCTCATATAATCTGAGGCAAAATATTGAGACCAAATCATGAATCGTTATGCCTATATCAAACCAAAAAGCATCAAGTTCTTCCAAAAATCGTAGCTCTATATATAAAAGTGACTCATTGTTCAAAGCTTTTGGCTGGAATGGAAATGCGAAAACACCTGATAAAAATAGCAACTTAATTTTACCTTGCAATCTCCAACTTGGACGAGTTTTCCCTTCACGATCTTGGAAACGCAGGTTCCAGCTGTCAAAAATAAAACGTGATATTTTAAACAAGAAAAGAGCAATTTCTACAGGAGTTGACTGATCGATAGCTGAGTGAGACTAATTTGGAATCATCCAAAAATGTCTTTTATTACAACATTTCTGGTACAAAAAGCTAGGGTTGGAAGGATTGCTTGCAAATCAGTATTCCAAACTCTATCAATTAATTATATCAAAATAAACTCTTACCAGGCAATTTAAGCTCCGCGAGCAAGCCCCAAAAAAGGGAGAGAAATAAAATAATTTTGACAAATTCCATCTTTGCTTCGAGAAATTTTGATGACACAACTAAAGGCTTATTTATGAAGGCTGTAAAAATATTCGAAGGTTTTTTAGGTTTATAACTGCCTACTTAATGTCATAAACTCTAAATATTTCTCTGCATTAACTTTATTCGTTTAATTTTCAAAAATATCTCTTGGATAAAGTAAATATAAAAAGGACTCAAAGTAACCGAAACTCATTATTTAGTGATTGGCGAGAGATCAACTGCTACACACTACATTCTCGCAAACCTAAGCCCGCCTAGCTTAAAGCGGAATCGTGTTCAACAAATTTTGTTTCCACCTTTTCGCGCTCAAGATACAGCCAATTGCCATGTCATTATCACAGTTTGAGCACGTGTTTATCGTAACAATTCAATTATACCGGTACCTCAATTATACGTACCGGTATTAGGTTTACTCAGGGCAGACATTTAGTTAACAGTAAGATACGAAAGCTTAAAGATGTCAAAACTAAAACCAGACGCTGAAAACAGACGTTTCTTGGATAAATGTCAGCGTTCGAATTATAAGTATAAGTTTATTTCAACTCCATAATCAGCATAACAATAAAATGATTGATAAAAACAAATAAATAAAAACTGATTATAAAATCAGGAGAGCAAACAAAACCTTAGAAAGGTTCAAAACATACAGAATATGAGATGGAGGGTTTTGCCAAGAAGAAGTGGTTCGTGTTCACTCACCTAAGTTCAGCATTGAAAAGAATCAAACTTCAGCGATTTGTCTTTTTTTTCCAGCGAACTGTTCAAGTTTTGAAAAAATACGACATTAACTGCCATTATGAGTCAACAAACATGTTTCAAGAAAATGTTAAATGAAAGTGAATACACAGAACCTCAGCTAAGCCGTCGCAGTTTTAAACACTTAGTGACGTCTGAAGCTGCCGCAAACCGTGGCGGGATTTCCAAATCATGGTGGCTGATTTTAGCTGCCACAAACAAATAGCGTGAGGCGGGTACCACGACAGAAAATTGAAAACCATGGCAGGTAGAATTGTGCTGCCACGAACCAAGGCATGTAGGCTGTTATGGCAGGACTGCCCCTGATGGTGACACACTCAAGTATAAGTTTATTTTGACTCCATAATCAGCAATAGACGATGAAATAATTGATAAAAACAAAATAAATAAAACTGATTATAGAATCGGGAGAGCAAACGAAACCTCAAGCAAGATTTAAAGCGTACATATTTCAGGTGGGAAGGTATTGATAAAAGAAGTAGTACGTCTTCGCTCACCCAAAAGTATTAAAACTAATTGAAGCACGCACACACACACACTTGGGGTAAGTTAGATAATTTTTTTATGAATTTGATAGATTTAGGCTCAGGTTTCAGGTTTAAGTAGATATAATTTCGCTTGATAAACTAATCTGGTACATGGCATTGTAGGCTAAATATACCGGAAATAGCGCCAAAAAAACATGGCAAGAGACGCCGCGGTTCGTTCGTGGCAGAAGCCGCTATGAAGTAGTAAGAACTGCGCCTCCACTTTTATGCGCTACACTCCTCCGACCCGCAAACATCCTTCCGATCCTAATTTTGCCCGCGGACAATACATTTTGGGAACCCCTGATCTAAACTGTTCTGTCTATACTAATGATCGCACAAACCAAGAGAGTCAGAAATTTAAATAATCATGAACGTCGGAATATTCAGTCCCACGATTTCTCTCTTTTCCATCCCACGATCGGAATCTCTGCCAGATTCCAGCTAAAACCAAATTTTGATGCTTTAGCTAAAAAATATTTCAAGGGATTTGTTGAGATTGCGATTAAATTTAGTTTAACCACGAGGCTTATTGTTTTCGACTTTCGCTTTTGTAACACTGTAAATATTTTTCATAAAATGTAACTTTTTCAACACACTTACATGGTCCGCTAGTCTAGGTGGGCAGAATATTTGGCCCCTGGTTTAAAACCTTGCCCCCCCCCCCCTGCTATAAAGTCTTTTTAGCGCGATCTTTCTATTTTAAAGGACAGAATACAAATGATATAAATTGTGTTTATGAAATATCTTGTACTGTGGATTGTTTACAACACAGAACGCCCACATGACATTGCATCTTTAGTTAAGTTTCGTCCACGTAATGCATTGCGTTACATAATGATAACTTTGGAATATCAATATTAAACCATTGCATGCAGTATTTAACTGGAAAAACATCAATTAAGTATCTGGTTACACAAAGCCTGGAGAATATTACATCACTAAGTTGATTAATAAAAATATTGAACCTGCCACCTTTAAGAAGGAAATCGTTTCTGTTTTAAGGCTATAGCCAAGTGGTTCTCAAACTTTTTTAGTCCCAGACCCAAATTTCGAACCTCAAAGTTATGGAGAGCCGCACACATACAACGCAAGGTAAAATAGCAACAAAACTTAAGCACGTATTTAAAATACCAAGACATCGTAACAACAACACACGTAACAACTAGGGCTAGGCAAAATATTCGAATAACAAATCGAATAATAAAATGTTCGAATGGCTTTCAACTATTCGAATATCCGGTACCACGTGACCGGCGCCGTTTTGCTTGGACATCGAACTCGCGCGTCTCCAACTCAATCGTGAATTGTGCGAAATTTACCCACGGCGCTAGCTATCAGAAAAAGCGACAAATCGTTGTCTTTGCGTTATGGTGTTATATGCTCTTCTTTGCACTTAACGTATCGTTTCAATTCTATATTTTGCAAAAAAACGTAGAAACGTCAAACCAGATTAGGTATGTAAAATAAATATCCCAGATTACAAACTCCGCATGCTTGGTAACATGTCACTAGCCATTTCTTGCATGATCCGAACACAAAAGTAATTAAAATTAAATGTTAAAATAACTTTTCGGCGTTTTATTGCGAAAAAGTCGATATCAGGTCGTCAGAAAACTCGAGTTATATAAATAGCATGGATTTAAAAACGAACAGTCAAAGTTTATCCAAAAGCCGGTATGAGATACTTGTATAAAAAACACTCATGAAGTTGTAACCGGATAAGAAATTTCATGTCATACTTCCTTTAATTAAAGCTCTCTCTATTAGCTCTTTAGTAATTTCTCCCATCCTTGGCCAATTTGCATATTCAGCACTTCACTTAATGTTTTGGATATGTAAACATTATACTCGACCATGCATGGCCGTTGTAGTGTCAAAATTGTGAACAAGAGTAGAACGTAAAATCAATCGTGAATTTCGTTGTGACAGTGCACACTGACTCGTTTTATAATTGTTGCACCTATTATCATGGTAAATTATTACAATTGTTATATTTTGAAGCATTTGGACGGTAATAATCAAGGTATATTCAAAATCATTAAGTGAAGTGCTGAATTTGCAAATTCCGTGAATAAAATTGAGCATTACCCAGTAAGGATTTTAGCTATAATAACAGTCGGGGTGTTGGTTTTGTTGAAAAAAAAAACGTTAAAACATGAAGAAATTAGTTATAATCAGCGTCTGACCCTCTATTAGGCACAAAGGGCTTATGGCCACTAGAAATGCTATTATTGCCAATTTATTTAATCGCTATTATAAATCAACATTCCGGATTCACGCAATCGTAAATTTGCGAGGTTTATCTATCAGTCTAAAATAACACGAACACCATAGGAAAGCATGAGAAACTCGATTATCATTTTAATAAATATCTGCATCTCGGTTACTTTTCACTTTAAACAGACACGGTTAATTTACAAACGGTGATAAGTAAGATCAAAGCCAAGGCAGAGGCAAAAACTCAGAATAAAATTAATTTGGTTTTGAAATCAGTCCCTACTGGCTTCAACAGCTGTCGCTGATGTGAACGCACGGCTATAGTAAAAATATGAAACGTCGATATCCGGCGACCCATTATACTTTCAAAAATGCCTTTTCAATGTTTCTGTTAATTTCCAAAGGAAAGTATCGACCTCCGACGTTCTGGATCTCTGTTGTGTATAAAAATAATTTATTATTCGACTTTTCGGCATTCGTTAAAAAAATTTAAATTATTCGATTCAAAAAATGGCTCGCACGTTATAGTCAATGTGCATATTTGCACCAGTGGAACACAAATTTTGTCGTCCGCTGCATCAGAGCTTATTTGAAGGAGAAGCTAAAATAACTGACTGTAAACTCGGAAGGAATAGTATTATCATTAATATGGATGGGACTAACTTGTTTTTGTATAGGTACGTAATACGACGCTCACTCGTGCCCTTTGTTTTGAACAAAGTCAGATAAAAGCAGACGCTGATTTCTAACAATATATCAAAGAATCGCTCTATAGACGTACTTCGATGTCGAAGTTATCCGAGGTATTCAAGCCCGCATTTTCATATATCTTGGTTGGTTCAATTGGTGAAAGCATTATGGATAGTAAAATGGTGTTAAAAAGGGCGTAAGAATTTATGTCTCACGGCAAATGCCGTGAAACTGCATTAAAAAATGTTGGACGCGCGTTCTGTCCCATCATGAGTGGTCAAGCTTTGACCAGCGGATCAAATCCGGCCCGTTGTGTAATTCAATCTGGCCCGCTAAAGCTGCCACACAACCAATCTAAAACCAAATTTTGATGTATCACTGTAAAAAAAATTCATAAAATTAAACTTTTACGTCACACTTACAAGGCCCGACGTGCTAGGCGGGCAAAATTTTTTGCCTCTGGTTCAAAAACCTTGCCAATTCCTGCTATAAAGTCTTTCTAGCGCGATCCTTCTATTTTAAACGACAGAATACAAATGATATAAATTGTGTATATGAAAGATATTGTACTGTTATATGTTTACAACACAGAACGCCCACATGACATGGCATCATTAGTTAAGTTTCGTCACGTAATGCATTGCGTTACATAATAATAACTTTGGAATATCAATATTAAACCATTCCACGCAGTATTGAACTGTAAAAACATCATCTGAATATCTGGTAACACAAAGCCTGGGGAATATTACATCACTCAGTTGATTAAAAAAATATTGAACCTGCCACCTTCAAGAAGGAAATCGTTTCTGTTTTAAGGCTATAGCCAAGTGGTTCTCAAACTTGTTTAGTCCCAGACCCAAATTTCAAACCTCAAAGTTATGCCGCACACAAACAACGCAAGGTAAAATACTAACAAAGCTTAAGCACGTATTTAAAATACCATGACATCGTAACAACAACACACGTAACGACTAGGGCTGGGCAAAATATTCGAATAACGAATCGAATAATAAAATATTCCAATGGCATTTTACTATTCGAATATCCGGTACCACGTGACCTGCGCCGCTCTGCTTGAACACCGAACTCGCGCGTCTCCGATTCAATCGTGAATTAAAAAATGCCAAATTTGAAAAGTCGTTGTCTTTGCGTTATTGTGTTATATGCTTATCTTTGCACTTAACGTATCGTTTCAATTATATATTCCGCAAAAAAACGTACCGACCGTTC